TTTTTTTTTTTTTTTTGTGAAGCACTTGGAGATGTTTCCTGTAGGTGTGAAGTCTATACTTGATGCATCCACCATTTTGAATAAGATGTGTATGTTAGTGTCTGAGTCTTGCTTAAGGTTATTTGGGATTCATAAACTAGGTGCCCCTGCATGTAAGTCCCCTGTGAGTGTCAGATCCATTAGGTGTATTCAGAGTATGCTTCGTAGAGGACCAGGGAGGCCCACCTGCCTCTTGCCCGGTAGGCTAGTAGTTAGGACACTTGCCCATGAAGTGGGAGAACTTGGTCCTGAGCCCTCAGCTGGAGCAAATTGGAGTCCGTCCTCCTACTTCCCAGGAAAGTGCCCCAACCACTGTGCTATGAGCAGGACTAAGATGCGTGCCTCTCTATCCTTCTCATTGGAGCTGGACTAAAGGACGGCCAAAAGTCTTGGTGCCGGGAGAGCGAGCTAAAGGAAACCCGATTCCCTCCCAGTGACGAGTGCGCTCCCTAGGGAGGGAGGGAACCTCATTCTCTGGCCTCTTTGTGCCTTTTGCATGACACAGTTATTAGGCAAAATGCATGCACGGCATTGGGGCCAAGAGGCAGGGTGCAGGGCTCACCTCGGAGTACCGGCCAGCCCTGCTCAGTGTCCCGTCTCCTGCTGTGGCCAATTTCTGAGTCTCTTGAGGAGTGTGAGGGTCAAAATAGAAACCGAATTGCACTGCAAGGAAAGCATTCCCTCCTGACCCCTACCGGTGAGCAGCTGAAGCCCTGAGCCTTGAGGTAGCTTAGCTTATCCTTCTTGTCTGAACACTCAACTGTCAGATTTATGAGCGCGTTGAGGACAATCCTCTTCTTCCCCAGGGCCTGGAAGGAAAGGGATGAATAGGGGGACTCCATTCCACAGACCCCAAGGACAAAGACGACCCCCGTGACCACCCAGACGGGTGCCCTCCCTCCACCCCTTGCATGCACAGGCAGTAGAATAGCTGCCTGCCGCTGCATTAAAGCATATCCTTTAGGATGATACCTAATCTCATTTTAAAGCCCCTAGGTGATGGTGAGCTTGCAGCTGCCTCTGATAAGCTGCTTCAATGCACAAGGACTCTCGCTGCTAGAAAACTGCATCTTATTTCAAGGTTCAGCTTCCAGCCACCAGAGGTTGTGCCCTTGTCTGTGAGGTTGAAAAGTGCCCCCTTGGCCCCCCTCAGCTGTCAGACATCTTCATGTGCAGGTACCTATAGGCAGTAGTCAGGTCACCTTTCCTTCTTCTCTTTGATCAGCTGAACAGCTTGAGCATCCTACGCCTGCCATCATCAGGCCTGCTTCCCAACCCCTGAATCCTTGCTGTGAACTCTTTTTTTTTTAATATTTCCATGTCCACCTTGAAGTGAGGACAGCACCTCATAGCAGCCTGCCCAACAGTGTGCCGAGACAAGGTCCCTTCGGTATTTCTACTTGATATCCCCTTTTTATACATTTAAGGAGTGCGGTAGCCCTCTGAGCCACAGTGTTGCACCGAAAGCTAATGAACATTGATGAAACTATTGAACGCACTGGACCACGAACCAACCCCTGAGGTGCCCCACTAGAAACAGCCCCAGTCAAAGATGGCTCCCCATTAGCAATTATCTTCTGCAGTCTGTCAATGAGACAAATCTTTAATTTACCTAATGCCTGCCATGTTAATTGTTTTCTTTTTTAATCAAGATGTCACGCAGCACAGTCGAGTAAATACCTTGGAGAAATGCATGCCTATTGCTTCAACCACAGTTGCCTTTATTGACTACGTTTATGAGT